ATTCGTTTGGTTGATGCACATGGGAGCTGTTTATAAAACGCACGGGTTCGAAATTTGTGAGGTCATATGTTCTAGGCTTAGGCGGATGCGTCGAGTCAGATTGGATCTGCAACGGATCTACCCGAGAGTCCTACCGAAAATGTGAACTGATGCTGAAAATTATGGATAAATAGATTCTTCGTCGAAGTCTTGACCTAAAAGTTGATCTACAGATCAATCGAAAGTTATCATTTAATGATACTTTTATTTACATCCAGCTAGAAATGAACAGTGTAACATGAAAAGCATGAAACTTAAGTATTTTAAGTATTCAGTTAAAAAAACTCATTGATACTTTAATACTTCATGGTACTTTTGATACGGATCTTTTTCAAGTATTCATTAGTATAAAAAGCTTTTCCACAACTCGTCAAAAAATGCTTATCTGTTGTGGTTTTAGCTCTTTTACACGGTCTCTTAAGCACACTGGACTTGTCAAACACATTTCAATGAAATTTTAAACAGTTCAAGTTTTAAAATTTTTTTCATAAGCACCGTTATAGCACTCTGTTATTCAATCACATTTCTATCAGATGATGCGAAAATAGTCAGCTGATAAAAATTAAGGCGCGTTCAGGAAAAATGATAACATTGATTGTAGAATTCTCAGTGAAAAAATCAGACGATATAAACACCTGAATCGATAATAAAAACATTTCAGCAATCGAGATCATATTACAGTATCATGTTGAGGGTATTCAAAGTACATCGTAGTCAGATCAACAATCGACAATATGAACTCAATGGGTGACAATATCAATTGCAGTCTGCTTATGTGGGAAAAATTCTAATGACGGCTGATGTGATGTGTTGAATACCGATTTGTGCGATGATTGTGAATTCTGGTAGGCGGATTACTAAGGGCCGATTCGAGTCATTAGGATACGACGGTTGAATTGCCCAAACATCAAATGATCCACCCAAATCTGCGTTACTCAATGATCCAAAGTGCTGTTTGGCTGAAAATTAACTGAATTAATTATTCTGAACTGATTCAAATAGCGAAATATCTCATCAAACTTTATAAATGTGATCTTATCGAACTCTTTCACTAACTGTATTAGAAGTTATTTCATCTTGGATAAGACCTCTCAAAAACACGATTCACGAATGGTCACTACTCTCTAATTCACAAGTTATGATATGAATCAGATGGAGCCTTAGACTACTGATAATGCTGACGATTTCATTAGTTAAATTCCAATACCTCTGTTATAGTAGCCTTCTTTGGTAATTGCCACACCAATCTGATTGACATGTTTTGCGAAGTTGGTTGGTGCCGTGATGTAGACAATGATTTGTCGATTACCCACATCGAACGTGAAAATTCCATCGATACCCGATTCAGTCCACAACAGTTTACGCATCATCTGAATGCAACAATTACTATGAAAATATTTTCATCAATAATTGCTCATAAGTTCAATGTCCAGTGTTACACATATCATTAAATTTTTCTTCAATTTCTTTTACGTTTACGTCGTTTACGCAATGACCGACGATCAGTTATCAGAGAGTTGAAAGGCAGTTACAAGTTACAAGTNAGCCTTCAGTGTCGCTTCCAAGTTAACGAAAATGATTATGTTTAGATGAGCTACTTCAAAGGTTGATCTGTCTCGGTTGAAAAGATACGTAACCAAGTGTGAAGGCAAGCAAGTGAATCCGGATAAAATAACTATAAAATTGTCCAGAAGCAAAAGAAGAAGCTGATACGAACTAATTGTGTGATGCAGTTTCATAGAAATAATGAGCAAACAAAATGCAAATAAACTCACAAAAGAATGCATTGAATGAGGTGGCACTGCTCGAATGGAATGCACAAGAAGGCCGTGACGAAGATAAAGTTGCGGATTTTTTAACGGCACATCCGAGTGATTCTCCATTTCAACAGTTACACAAACTTTAAATAGACATATTGGATCAAGATCGTCTAGATACGACGATATTGATGATGTCAACGGAATCAGGCAGCACAGACTGAGTAAAATTAACATGTGGAATTGATTTGTTCGTATGGAATCGATTCACACAGTGATTTTTGCAGTGATGAAATTTATTTCGAATCCTTCAATAGAATCCTTTCACTGAAAACGAATTAATTTTGCAATTATTCGATTCGTATGCAATTCATCAATCGCATCAATGAACCTGTCGTGAATTAGTTGTGTTCAAGCTGATCGTGAGGTCTTTGGATGTCTTGGATACATACGGTGAGCAGTTGACCGCATTAACAAATAAGCGTTTACAATCATTTAATTAGGAATATTCGATCGCCCTATGCGATCAGCAATTGAAGAAAACGAAGCGAATAAAACGTTCTCGAAACGGATGAGATTCTCAAAAAAGTCTCAGTGAAATGCGATTTCGAATCAATATATTTTTAACTAAATGTAATATATAATTCAAAAAACTGAGAATTCATTGAAACGAAGTGCTGAGTGATTAATGAATGAGACACATTCAACATCCATCTGTAAACCGCAAGAAGTGAAATTTCTTCAAAGGTTCATTTTAAAAGTTATACGATTGCTTTATTACGCTTGTAAGGTATTGTTGACTGCGAAATTACAGGTAAGTGCGGTTAGGGACCACCGTTGGGACAATTTAACCACATCCACTTGTAATAGTTTAGGGCTCAAGTTGGAGCTTACGTTGAGAACGGAATAAATTAAGCGTTGCCTAAAGAACCTATTTACAATTGTTTTGACATACAAGGACCCAGTTTTCACCGAGTTTGAAGATGCAATGAGTGACCAATTATGACATAAGAAGGTTCGAAATAATAATAGTAATGATAATAGTAGCAAACAGCTAAATTGTTTTCTCGTACTCACTCAACTTTTAGTTGCCTGTTGCTATTATTATCATAACTTTGAACCTTCTTACAACCTCACTATGTCAGTAATAACTAATCGCTAGCAATAGCTGAATGTTTAGTAGAAATTCGGAATGATCAGAAAGACGTCGTCAGAGTTGAAGAATCTCAAAAAGGGAAGAACTTTGTAAACTTCAAAAAAGACTGCATGAAAGAAACGTTAGGCTCGGGCATGAAATTCTCAAATGAATAAATCATTTCGATTCAGTTCTGATTACTAACGAAAAATGCACTGTAATTTTTTGTAACTAGTTCTATTGTTGATGTTGTAATAATCTGTCCATGTTGCTGTAATTATAAGTGTCAAAAATCTATTAACAATATTGTTAATAGATTTTTGACACAGTGATCACGTATGCCATGTGTTATCCTCAATTGATGTTCCATTATATATCCAATGTTTTCATTGCTGTTTTCACGTTCCCGTCAAAATAATTACACATTTTCTTCTCGTTTTGTTTCATCTATAGTTACACGCTGGGTTTGCCTAATTTTATAATTGTCTCACTTCAGTTTCTTTTATGTGTTCCACTCATTATCGGTCATTAAATTGTTATTCTTATCTAAGTTGTTGTTTTCTTAAATTTCGCATCCAAAAAAACACTTCACCATCGAGTATATACATTAAAAATTTTCCTTGTTTATGCATTTATGACAGTAAACGCTCATTCGTTCCTGCAGTACAACACAATCAAATAATGTTGAA